TGGTAGTGGGACCATCTATCCTACCTTGCTCCATTTGATCAAGAAGGCGGCTATGGTCAACTTTTCATATGCCTTACTGGAATATAAGTACGCTACATTTTCAGCACTTCCCTTGACCTACTAATCTAGTCACTTTGTAAAGAAAAAAGAAAAAAAAGCAATGGGATTTGTCTAGCATGGTCTGGTTTTAAAAAAACTCTTGCTGACTTCTAGCAATCATCTTGGTCCTTTCTAGGTATCTGCAAACCCACCACTTGGTGATCTTTTCTAGAATTTTCCCAGATACTGATGTTAAGTTGACCACCCTGGAGTTTCGTGGGTCCACTCCTTCTTTGAAAATGGGAAAAAACATCAGCTCTTCTCCAGTGTTCCAGAAGGTCTCAGGGATTATAATCAGTAGTTCTAAGTTGATCTAGACTCTAGAGCATCTAGAATTATTGAGCATCTAGAATCTCTTTTGTTCATGTACATGAACAACTGTAATTATTTATATGGAAATCCACAATGAAGTCACTTCCAAGGATTAAATACAACATTATATTCTTAACATAATTTAGCCTCCACAAGTGGTATCAAATTCTGAAAGATGGCACCAAGCTCTTTTTGACATCCAGAACAACAGCCTGGCCCTCAGTCACATTTGCCAACTCCTTTTCCCTGAACTCCTGATACATCAGCCAAGACGGCTTGCACACACACAACAGCCATAACCTTACACTGCTGTAAATCCATTATTTTCCAAAATCTGAGCAGAACTTGTCAGTTGGAGAGGAATCACTACTTTATTCATAGCAGGTCAGGTGTCCCTTGAGAAAGAGAAACTTCCTTGAGTGTATCTGCCATCATTACTGTATTTGAAGACACTGAAGTTGGGTAACATTGTCTACTCTTCTAGAGTGCAGAATATATTCTTTAAAGTGACTTCCAGTTCTATTTTTGATACTGCTTTTCTCTGCTTCTTTCTGCATCTGTATTTCTGTCCTCCATTATTACAGACTATGGAGATAGCAGAAAATATACCAGAATATCCCCAAATAATAATTTAAATATATTTTACAAAATTAATAACGAGTGTTAAGTGGATAAAAATTATACCTGGGGACGATACACATTCTCCTCACAATTGGGAAGCCAGTCTTACCTTTGCACTGAAAATAAATACACACAGATACACAACTTGCTTGGAATGTGGAGTTGAAACCCAGCAGGTAGATACAGAGAAAATACAAAACAATCTGGCTATCTGAAATAAATGGATATATTTCAAGCCTACTATAGTTTTAAATTTAGAAAATGCACAGCTATCAGCAGGTGGGGGAGGTTTAACACCCAGCACTAACAGCAGGATGGTGAATGCCAATTTTCAATTTTAAAAATTTCTAATGCATTTCACAATTTACTCACACTGAGAGAATACATACTGAGGTGTGTGCATTAGGTCTCACCATGGGTATCCACGGGGTGTAGTAAAAACAGTTAAGACGGTGGCCGTGATGGTGCTACTGAAGCTCCATTCTTTACATGCGTCATCGTGCAACATAGACAGACCTTTGATGGCACCATCCCAGCTACCCACTTGAGTTTTGGACACTCCACGGCTGACAGGGGTTTCTTTCTGCTTTCCAGTCTGATGTGACTCACAATTTTTGAAACAGCTACTGTGGAACTGTCTTAAAGTTTACAATCTGTCTGTTTATTCCTCGTAACACACACACACTCACAACGGTGTAAGACAGCCCTCACACCACCACGTTCTCCAGAAGTGGAAGTGAAGCTGCAGTGTCGCATAATGTCTGAAACAAGCATGGAAACACAGAACAGGCCTGGGAAGGGCTCTGTAAAGCCCACTGGAGACCCCGGTTTCAGTTGACTGCTTCAAAACAGGTCCCCGTTTCCATCCATGAATCTGTTCTCATGTGTGGTTTGACCCAGGGTCCATGGAATTAAAGCATTCCTGAGAAACGTCGCACGTGATTTCTGATATATCCTTTGGTTATTCAGACATAGCATTGTATAGATGCTGTACTAAAAGAATCAACACTGGCCCCAGAGGGAAAAAAGCTGTTAGCCTGAGATCTTCATTATGACAAAGCTGAATAATTTTGCCAGGAGAAAAGAAAGACTGGTAGTGCATTTAAGCCCCATCTCATGATCACAGGAAATCTTATTTAATCACAATTCCAACTCCTGAGATTTTGCCAGCTACTTCACAAAGGCTTTCACATCTATTTTAGCAGCCATATAGTACTGTAAATTGGATTGTTTTTTAAATGAAAGTTGAAAATCTCAAAAGGCTGAATTCTGCATTCAGGAGAACATTCTGTGCTTTCTTCTTTTTCGTACTGTGTGGGCTATAAATTGCCTGAATTCTTCCATTTATTCCCCGAATATTTTTTTTAAAAAAAGAGCAACATACCGTACACCTTGCAAACTTTTTATTACACTACAGATTTTCATAAAGTAGAATCCACTTTATGAAACAAAGGCATTATAAGGTATTAAATGTTATTCTTAGTTGGGAAGCTGGGCACAGTAGGAAATTCCCCTTCTGAACAGCTGACTGGAGAGGGATCAGAGGAAAGATTTCCTCCAGCAGACGCCAGTTTTAAGAAAGGAAATGTTATTCCTCTCAGTCTGGAAAAAATGACTACAGAAATGTTTTAAAGAAGCGAGTTAGACAGTTTGCATTAATGAGTGACATGCCAGTGCACTAATTGACATTATTGATACAAAATGATACTTGAGCAGTACCTGTCATGCAACAGACCGTTTCTTATAAAGATAACAGAAAAATGCATTATAAATGCATGATAAAGAATGCAGGATCAGGACAACCGAGTGTAAGTTTTAACCAATCCCCTACAGGTCACAGATCTGGCTTGCTGCATTTCATGAGTTTGGGGCTCAACTCTTTACAGTCCTTTTCCTTCTGAACGTACGGACAGATATCTCTTAGGACCACCTAAAGCAGTGTTGTCCAAACTTGGCCACTTTAAGATGAGTGGACTTCAACTCCC